TCGACATGCGCACATTCAATCACGAGGGCAGCTCGGAACTCAGTCTCATTGTGCCAAGGATTGCAGAACACTTGGGCATGCAGAGCACACCTCTTGTGTGTAGAAGCAAGGCTGAAGTGCAGATTGGGACATTTAGGGCCCATGGCGATGTACATATGCGATCCAACATTTCACCCAGATCACAGCAGAAGAATATGCCGCCTCGGCCTCAGTCCGATTGAATCCCCAGTGGTTTGCGTTTTGGTCAGTCATGTTAAACTGTTGGTCTCTCTACAGGGACAAGACAGACTGACAGCTGGCGAAGGATCAGCTGAGCCGCATTCAGTGTGCAGACTTTGGAGATGCGTGACCGATTGACTTGTTGCAGGCAGGGTCAACCCTAGTAGGGGACTGCTACAAGCAGCGCAGATTCAAACAGCGTGACATTGCTGGCCATGAGGCTACGCGTAAAAGACAAATCAAGATGCTTAGATGCAACATATCGATCAAGCAACAACTGCAAGCCAGCGGAGTATCCACGTCTTTAGGCAGTCTGGCGCCCGAATTTCCCGGAGCCGCCGCACCCGCTGGTACATTTGTTCTCCCAATATCAAGGAAGCAATCCGGACAGAACTACGAGGGAGTTGGTAGCGGCTTTTGTGAGGGTCCTATCCATAACCTCCTGAGGGGTATTGGTAGCGGCTGCTGTGAGGGTCTTATCCATACCCAGTTTGGTCGCACGATCCCTCTTTTGTTTCCGACAAAAAAACACCACATATTTGAATTGCAAGCGCTTTGTCGACTTGCATGTGTCTGAGGTCCAGGGCAGAGTTGTTGCCCAAAATAGGCGGCCTTATCGCGATGTACGCGCGGCGTGGTGGCCAATCGGGACACCACACACGCAGGCCTCTGGCAAGGCTGGCGATGCCAAGTCAGCTACGCCTAAAGCGAGGGCTGGCTGTACGAGAAGGCGCTTTTCTATAGGCAGGTTTGCGCCAGACATTCCCGTGTCAGGCCTCATGGCCGCCCTATAGGCCGCGCATACCGACAGTGCCAAACCTTGCGCGTGAGCATTTTGGGATTTAGACCCCTGTTTTGCCCGTGCTGTCTTTGTGGCAACTTTGGCCGCCGCAATATCGCCCGACCCGTTTGCGCAAGAACGCGCGACGGTGTGTATTCGTTTGAGTGAGCCTGTGGCAACTGGCGTCGAATACTTCCTGGAGGCCCAATTGATACAGACAAAAATGCTCAGTTGCATTTTCGGAGTTCGAGCATTTTTTTCTGAAACGAACAGTTTTGAAGACGGCTTGGCCCGAAATGCGCACCGCGTTTCGAGCGCAATTCGGCACAACTTCGGGCGCAGTTTCGCGCAAGTCGGGTGCAACCGAGCGCAATTTCAACAACTGCCCAAATTCTGGTCACTACACTAGCGCCAAGTCGCTGGCTCCCAGAAACATGTCGGCCACTTTTTTCACCAAACACATTTGAGCACAAATTTCTGTATCAATTGGGCCTCCAGGTTGATTGATCAACGGGCCTCAGCTCAAAGTTCCTCTTGGTTTCGCGAAACGAACAAGCTTTCGCTACATCAAATCGGAGCTTCCCACTGCCCCGACTGCCCCACCCTTTTTGGAGTGCTGCAGGCTGAGCTGCAGGAATTTACCCGCAGGCAGTTTTGAGACAGAGACTGCTTTGGCTTGTGTCGAGGCCAGTTCTTTCAACTCTACGCCCATGTCCCTCGCGAAGCGCTGCGATGCCCAGAGACACACACCACGCACAGGCTCATCAAAAGATCATATCTCCGCGCGGACTGGAGTCCAAGCCCGACTCCTTGCATGCTTCGTCCTTGGGGGTCACTGGCGGCAAGGGCCGGCAAGGGCCTGTTGTGGCCGCCTTCGCGGGACGAACAAAACTGCCCGAAGTTGCCGGGGAAACGGACCCGTTTGCGCGATCCCCCATTAAGGGCCGCCAAGATAGGCACATGCCCCATCCACAGTTGCACACCTTGTGGGTGAATCTGTTTGCCTGTTCTTTCTTGGGTGTCCCGATTGGCCACCATGCCACACGCAGATTGCGATGCGGCCGCCTTTTGAACTTTTGGGAGAGGTGCGGGCGGTGAAGAGCAGGTGCTCCTTGCGGCACAGTAACGTTTCCTTCACACAGGTGGCGACATATTTCCAAAGAAGGCATGCAGTCATCGAAAGAGCGACCTCTGAACGGAGGCGAGTATTGACTATCTAGGTTCGGCAACGACGAAGTCGTCAAAGTTTGAGCGGCGCGCGTCCCTGCAACCTTATCAAATCCAGAGAGAACGTCGGGGACATCAGTTTGAGCCCTTGGAGGTGGCAACCTGTTTTGATTGTGATTTGTCGTGTTGTGTTTCCTGTATGGAAGCTTCGCTGAAGCCCCTCGGTGCTATAAAGCCACCAGAAGCACACATGTGCAACGCAATCGTATGCCAGTCGCACAACGCTCGAAGCGCCTCTTGGTCTCACGAAACAAACATGGGGCCTGGCAAGGTCAACTGTGGGTGATGTCAGTGCTCCTTCCAAGAGTTGGTTGTGACAGCAGTCAAGCCGTGGGAATTCTGTGGCGTTGGGTTTTCACGGGTGCCGTCCTGCCCACTGGCGCTGGCCAAAACTGCAAAATGCCGCAAGCTGCAACGTGCTCTTTACAGAGCTAGAGAGCATGGCTTCATGCCCGCACTGTTCTCTGGTCGTGCTATAAAGCTGCGTGGGACCAGCACCTGCGAGCAAGCGCTTCCAATTATTCTTGTTGACTTTGCGCGGAGCTCAGAATGCGACATCGCCGCGTGCTCCTGGCCCTTTGCGCTGCCAGGACAGTCCTGTGGTGCTTGTTGTGCGGCTTTGCCAGGCCAGAGCCGTTTGACACAATTACTTGACCTTCAAGGCAGTGTGGAAAAAGAAGAGTAACGTCTTATCAATGTCACACATGGCTGCTTATTGCTTAAATCCATCGCGAATGGTCAAAGAGATTCCGACCGGGCAATGTGACCCAGTGTGCAGCCGGGTTTGGAGAATATGTGACTACTTGACCTGTACTGTTGCGGGGTGCCAACTGTAGCACTAGCAAGGCGTTGCGACATCTCCGATTCTGAATGCTGGGCTGATGGCGCCTGAGCATGGCAGGGTAGTGGCCAGTTTTGGGCAGGGCTCCCCATAACTACATAGCCATTCAAATCATGACTCTTTGAGTCCGGCAAAGTCTAAGAACTCTTGAGGTGCTGTTTCACAGCCATGTCCATCGCACGTGCCTCTGAATCGCTGGGACTTGAAGCCTCCCGGGTGCAGACTGCGCCAGTCTGGCTAGCAAGCGAACCGAAGCTGGAGCTGGCAGCACGAAAAGAGCAGCTGACTCGGACATGCGTAATGGCACCCCACAAGCATACTTACTTCGGGCATGGCCAAAGCCATCCGCTTGCTTAAAGCTGCTTGCACAAATCTGAGCAACTGCCTGGGGCTTGTGGCATGAAATGGTTGGCCGGTTGGCTTGACGTGTTGCAGGCAACACTCCCGTGTTGTTTCGGACTCCGAGGCTGCCTGAGTTCTCCTTCCTGAATCTTCCCAGTCCAAAGGTGATTTAAGCCTTAGATCCATGCAGTTGAGTGGCGGTGGTTTCACTGAGTGGATTTCAGATGTGGTTTTTCACCTGGTCCAGCCAGCGGCATGCACGTACACTTCAATCTTACTGGAAGTGCGAGTTTGCAGCACTCCTCCAGCACTACAGTGAGGCAGGCAACGGCTGACCGGGACTCGTCGGCTTTGGCACACTTCTCGAGGCTTTCACAAAATCTGAACATGGCACCCCGGCCCTTGGCAAGGCACCGCACCTTTCTGTTTGAACGCCCTGCCCTTTCAACATTAAGGGCTGGTTGCGTCGTGTTCTTTTTGTGAGTGGGGATGTCAATCCCGGCGTAAGGTCGTAGGGGTGGACATTCCGTGCACCAGGGCAGCATGTCAGCCGCTGCTGTGCCAGCAAGAGCCACCTAGAATCCACTTGTTCAATCATGATCACCCCATCCCACTGCCGCGACCTTTTTGGAGTGCTGCAGCGATGCGCAGCATGAAACCACGAGCGCAGGAGTTTACCTGCAGCAGGCAGGTTTGAGCCAGAGACTGCTTGTGCACGACGCAGAGATGTGCATTCAAAGATGTGACTGTCGATCAGTTGGCGGCTCTGAAAACTTGCTCCAGCATTGACCTCGCCAGTCCATGAGCGAGGGTGTGGCCTTAGAGGCGTGGGGGCAGCTGGGCAAGGAGCTCAGCTCACGGCCATTGCCAGCAACCAGACACTTGCCCGGGCTGAGGGATCCTTCAGGCGCAGTGGCCCGCGCATGCGCCATGCAAGTGCAAGCGGGAAGTGCGGAGGCTGTGAAGTATTTTCCTTTGAGAGTTTCGCCGACGCTTGAGGAAGAGCAATCAGCTGTCTGTCTTCAGCTGCAAAGTGCTGCTAGCAAGAGCAAGAGTTGCGATGAGTCGCTTGAGCAAGACCGTCCTCTCTCAACCAGCATCTCCAGCACAAGCCTTCACGCTCTGCGCGCCGAACGGTCCACTTTGAGTTTCGGCCACTGCCGGAAAGGTCGCGGCCTAACAGCCAGGTGGACAGCAACGCAGGCTTGATTTTGCAGCTGGCTTGAGTCATGTGGGCATTCCACAGAAGCCAGTTGGCATGTTGCACAGCGCTACTTGTAGCGCGCCAGGTTCCAGGAAACCTCATGTCAAGTCGTGTTTTGTGAGCTGCGCAAGCTCCGAGCCTCGCGTTGTTGCAACCGGTGTCAGGAGCCAGCATGACGGGCCGTAAACATGGTCCCAAATATAGAAGCCCCGCGCAGAGCGTTTGCTCTGCGCTGTATTTGGCTCACTTACCCATGAGGTGGCTGTTGAGACGAAACCTCCATCCAACCAGCAGAGGCATTGTGTGTTCGGTCGCGCCGGCCGTGGCGGTCTTGCTTCCATGCTGCCAAAGCGCTGCCTTAGGCGGACACACGCGCGTGGCCTTGAATGCAGTTCTACCTGTCCTGGTGTTCCTGGCATTTGACATACATCCTCCTGCCCAAGCTTTCGTTGGCTGTGGCCCAGCCACAGCTTTATTGCATCAACATTGTCACCATAAGCAGCATCATGATGTGGCGCCATCAGTGTGAGAAACTGCACAGCTCGAAGATAATGCTGAATGCTTTGTGCAGCCGCCTGCGCTCTGACTCCAGCGTTGGACGGTTGCCCCGCTTGACTTGCCAACAGGCCTGGTTTCGTTTGTTTGTGATGTGTGCAGCTGCCTCAACATCAGCGGCTCCTGCTGCCAATGCTCCTTCCTGAGTTGGCAGTCTCGGATTCGCGCACCACATGAAGTGCTTGTCTTGAAACGGGCTTCCTGGGACTTGGGCGTGGGCTATCTTATCCTTCTCGGGAAGCATGCTTTGCATATCCATAGTGACAGAGTTTGCCATGCGAGTTTCTTGGCCCCGCAGCTTTCGCAAGCAGTGGTTGCAGCTTGAGTCCGTGGGGAGGCTGCTGTTGCACGATCCGTTGAGGCCACGTCAGCATAGCGCAGAGTCGTAAAGTGGGCTTGGTGCGATCCGCTGACAGCGCGTTGCCACAAATCCATGGAGTCATCCTGCCAGAAGCGGGAAATTCGTCAATAGTTGCAAGCGCGGCGTTGCCTAGTCCAGATACCGAGTCATATTTGCCAACACTCCAAGTAGTCATGCGCTATGCTTTAGTATTGATAGCTGCTGAGAAGGTTGTTGCATTGCACAGCTTAATTGGAAGCTTGCATGCAAACGATTCTGTGCAACTTTGCATATCTTCGATGGCATCATCTAAGCTCAGTTGGTTACCTTTCGCCAGGGGCAAGCTGCAGGACAAAGCGCACGCTGTCCGATTGTGTGCGGCTTGCTTGTTTCAGTCACAGTGTCCAATGTCAACGAGCTGCCTCGCGGTCGAACCCTTTGACGTTTCCGGCTTTGATCTGCACCGCAAAGCAAGAGCAATTTCTCCGTTTGGGGGCAATGAGTTCAGCACAGGATCTTGATACTGGGATGAGCCGCCAGGTTCTGCTCAAGGTGTCTGCGGTCGACCAAAGCAAAAGCGCAGGTGACGTGAATCACAGATGACAACAAGCTGTATGACAGCAGCAGGTAGTGTCAAGTGGTGAAGTGCGAGCAAACATGTGTTTGTCTGGCACACGCACTTACACTTGTGAGGACCAACACGTAGCGCCACCTGTTCCTCTGGTGCGAGCGCTCATCACCGGCGACGGACAGATAGTCTCTCCTTTGTTTGTGAGTAGCCAAAAGGTGATATATCGATCATACAGCAGAGCGTGCTGCGTCAAGCAGGTCTCTCACAGAGTGGAGACTGGGGTGACAGCAAAGTTTGCCACCAATGCAGTGCCATCGTGATAGAAATTACGTTTCTTATTCTTTTCTGACCTGGTTGGAAGACTGCAGGCCCCTTCGCAGGAGTACATGTGACGTCCACTGGAGCTTTCCTCTCAAATGGCCTGCCGTTTGTGCACCACGGGTCTACTTAGCAAATTCCATTTTGGGGGCACACTGTTTCGGAGGAACTTGGGGGCCCGCAGGGGCCAGACCGGCCGTTGGCAATTTGGTTGAGCTTTTGTGCATCTGGGTGCAGCTGGAGTGTCAGTAAGCATCCATTGCAGGTTGCCAGGGACCGGGCTTCACTGGGCTCTTTGGCCTTGCAGGGAGGTTGCGCTTATTCGGAGCCCTGCCGATTCCAAGTCACAGCCGTCGATCTCCATGTGTGCTTGCGTTATTTGCAGCCGCAAGCTCAAGTCAGCAAGCCGTATGGATCGCGCGAATTTGCGAGCCCGCAGAATCACAGCGCTGGGGCCACGTTGGCTCGTGAGCAACTTGGTTGAGCTTTTGCCCATGTGGGTGCAGCTCGAGTGTCAGCATAGATCCATTTCCCAGTAAGTCCAAGCAGGTTGACAGGAGGCGGGCTTTACTGGGCTCCGCTTTGGCCTTGCAGGGAGGTTGCACGTATTTGGAGCCATGCCGATTCCCAGTCACAGCTCAAATCAGCGAGCCGTATGGTTGTTCCTTGCAACGTGCGCGCGCATTTGGGAGCCCACAGAATCACAGAGCTGGGGTCACGTTAATCTGAGCGGTTGTTCCTCACAGCCGTCCATCTCCGTGTGTGCCTGCGTTATTTGCCGTATGGTTCCTTGCAACGTGCGCGCGCATTTGGGAGCCCGCGAATCACAGAGTTGGGGTTATTTTCCCAGTAAGTCCAACTACTGCTCTTGCAGATGCGGCCATCTTGGCTTGCAGGTTGCCAGAAGGCGGGGCTTCACTGGGCTTGAAGCAGCCTTGCAGTTTGCTTGCTTCTTTGGCCTTGCAGGGAGGTTGCGCTTGTTTGGAGCCATGCCGATTCCCAGGCACAGCGGTCCATCTCCGTGTGCGCTTGCGTAATTTGCAGTTGCAAGCTAACGCAGCCTGAGCGGTTGTTTTATGCCACGTTCGTGCGCATTTGGGAGCCGGCAGCATCACAGAGGTGGGGCCACGTTGGCTTGTTTGGAAACTGGCTCGAGTGTGAGTAAGCGTCTATTTCCTAGCAAGTCCAATGGCTACTCTTGCAGATGGGGCCATCTTGGCTTGCAGGTTGCCAGAAGGCGGGGCTTCACTGGGCTTGAAGCAGCCTTGCAGTTTGCTTGCTTCTTTGGCCTTGCAGGGAGGTTGCACTTGTTTGGAGCCATGCCGATTCCCAGGCACAGCGGTCCATCTCCGTGTGCGCTTGCGTAATTTGCAGTTGCAAGCTCACACAGCCTGAGCAGTTGTTCCATGCCATGTTCGTGCGCATTTGGGAGCCGGCAGCATCACAGAGCTGGGGCCACATTGGCTTCTTAGAAACCAGCTCGAGGGTCAGTAAGCCTCCATTTCCTAGCAAGTCCAATGGCTACTCTTGCAGATGGGGCCATCTTGGCTTGCAGGTCGCCAGAAGGCGGGGCTTCACTGGGCTTGAACAGTTTGCTTTCTTCAACCTCGGCCTTGCAGCGAGGTTGCGCTTGTTTGGAGCCATGCCGATTCCCAGTCACAGCGGTCCATCTCTGTGTGCGCTTGCGTAATTTGCAGTTGCAAGCTCACACAGCCTGAGCGGTTGTTCCATGCCATGTTCGTGCGCATTTGGGAGCCGGCAGCATCACAGAGCTGGGGCCACATTGGCTCCTTAGAAACCAGCTCGAGGGTCAGTAAGCATCCATTTCCTTGCCAGGAGGCGGGGCTTCACTGCAGCCTTGTAGTTTGCTGGCTTCTTTGGCCTTTCAGTTCGGAGCCATGCCGAACGGCTGTCCATCTCAGTGCACGCTTGCGTTACTTGCAGTTGCAACCTCGCGCTAGCCTGAGACATGTGGCCTCATCACTTTAAGTCAAACAACGAACGAGTTGTCGCAGACGCAGCTATCAGCTGTCGTCGCAAGTGCAACTTGAGTTGTTGTTGCTGATTCAACCAGCGGCTGTCAAAAGAGACGAGTTGGCCGCTGACACACCCCTTGCAGCTGCTGCGCGAGCGAAGCGGTGGATATTCGGCGGCTCCATCCAGTGCGCAAGTCCAATAGCGGCCACGGCTTGGCTTGCCTTCGCACGTGAATGCTTGAGCGCATGAGCGCCACAGTAGCTGAGCGCGACCTTCAACAGCAAGTGCCGCGAAGCTTTCGGCTGTGAGTACCAATTTTGCAGATGATGCGCCTTCTTGGGTCTTGGGTGCTAAAAACTTGTCAAGGGCTTGCACGGAAGATATCCTCTACTTCTGCTTGCCTGTCTGCTCCAGCGCCCACTTGCGCCAGCTCGCCATTTTTGTTGGGCAAAAGGGCATAAGAAAAAAGAAGGCTTTGGTTGTTAGACATGTCGATGATGCCTGTCAGGCGAGACTTCAATTCCGAACCCCTTGTCCTTCACACAAGCCCGACCCATTGGACGCTGCCCTCACGTTCGGTCACTTCCCAGCCCCCCCCTCATGCAAGACTAATCCGCAGAGCCCAGTGCGGGCTGTCCGGATCCTACCGGTTACCCAGGTTTCGGGTCCCCCCCAAACAAAGGACCTGAGGAGAAGCGATGGCACTGTAGTTGCTGCTTCAACATAGAGGCTAGTTCCATGCATATGCTGGCCAGGGTTTGCTTTCTCCGCATTGGTCCCCAAGCTGCCCGTGATAAGGCTAGTAAGTCTACTGAGTTGAGTGCTTCTGGAGCTATGGACTTCAGCGTCCCGGCAGACAGTGTTGCTTGGCAAGGTCACTGGGACATTGCGCCGTTTTGAGAACCACGCTGGGGCGTAAGTCCCGGCGGAAATGCCCGCGCAATTGTGGCACCTCTTGCGGTTGCGCTGGCATGCCGGCAGCATCCAAGCGTATGCACAGCGGCCGTAACATTCTGAAGACTTTTCGCAGACCATTTTGTGTAAGTCCGGCGCAAGTAGTGTAGGAACAGGTTGGCGTCTCATCCAACAACAAAATGGGCGTGACCACCCGGGTGCGGGATGCCACAAGGACTTTGCAGCTCAGTGGTCCCGATTCGTGGCCACCACGCCACACATACATTACCATCGCTACATCAAATGGGAGTTTCCCACGGACCCGACTGCCCCAACCTTTCTGGAGTGCTTCGGCGATTTGCAGCATGAACGCAGCAGGCAGGTTTGAGACAAAGCTTGCTTGTGCCAATGCCACTAGACGCGCTGCGCAGAGTTCTTTTCACGCGCCCTACGCCCATGACACTCGCGAACCGGCACGGTCAGAATCGCTGAGGCTGCTACGATGTCCAGAAACACTACACAGACTTACAGCGAACAGGGTCTCTGCCTGTCTCGCATTGTCCTTCTCGAGGCTTGGCGCTGGCCTTGTCGAATAGGTGCCATGGTTTTGAGAGCCACGCTGACGCTGGGGCGGAAACGCCCGCGCATTTGTTGCACCTCATGAGTCGGAGCAGACAAGAGGCAACCTTTTTGGTTTCGCCCTGCATCACAGGCACGGTGACCAGTAATATTGCGTGACGCCGGCAGAATGTCCGTATCATCCCGAAGGAACCATCAGCAGAAACAGCAGCCTTTTGCTGCTGTACAAAGACACCATGCAGAGACTGTGCTGCAGTGCCCGTGCAAAGAAAGGTCAGCCATCTATCCCGCCTTGTAGCGAGGACAGCCAAGCAAACTATACTTAACACATGACTGGTGGCTCTGCACCACCACCCCCAAAACGCCCATGTCGATATCATTGGAGGACTCACGCGCATCTTACCCGCTTGCGATGCGGTTGCCAAAGTCGAAATCCAGCAACCACATTTCTGATGCGTACTGTGACATAGAGGCACCAAAGCCGCACATTTGTTGAGCTTGTAGCGTTGCATTGTAGTAACTTGCAAAGCACCGAGCCTAAATCGTGTGCGGGTGTGGAAAGCATGCACTCTCGCATTGCATGCTGAAATTACATACGCAGCAACCGCGCATTCTCGTCCATGTTTATAGCAACTTTCACTTTGTTCCGGAGACTCACACCTTCGCACTCACCACGCGAATGAGCCACCACGTGAAAATCGCACGCCTGCGCCCATGATTGCCAATTTCGATCCGTGGCTAGCTGTTCCCAATACTTACGGCTTTGTGAGAGCTTCAGGGTGAAAGGGTTGTTACGCCATGTGACTATGATAGCTTCGTACAGGTATAGTCCATCATGGCAGGCGAAACCACACTACCGCTGGAAGGTCTCGGGCCACAAGTGCTGACAGAGGCAACCCAGAGACTCGGTTGTTGCGTGTTACTGTTAGTTCGTTGCAGAACACTCTGCAAGATGCATTGGCAGCATGTGTGCAGCGGCTGTAGCATTGTGAGAGCTTGCACAGACCATTGTCTTAGCGTCTTAGCATCCCATTTCTGCACCTTGCCAAGCAGCTCTGATCTTCATTGACAGCAGCTTGTGGAGAAAGAGCTTGCCGTGCATACCTGGCATCCATCCCATAATGACCACCTCGCATTTGCCAGGCATAATCGCTGTTCAAGAAAGCATGACAAAGGCAGTGT